CTGCAGCAAACAGCAGCCCAATCCGTGCTGCCCTGCTGTGTTTTCACCTTCGTCGGCAGCAGCAAACAGCGGCAGGAAACGGTGGCTCAACCGTGCTGTCCTGCTGCGTTTTCTTCTTCATCTTCGGCTGAAATCAACCACAGCAACAGCAGCGACAGCAGGCGCTGCCTGCACACCTCTTGGACCTGCAGCCTGCGCGCATCGATCACCAACAGCAACAGACGCCGTCTGCGTTTTCGACTCTCCGCAGCCGACCAAAACAGCAGCAAAGGGGCTGTTTATCCGCCTCCTTTTCTCACCTATCAGCAGCAACTGTGAGTTCAGTTTGTTACATCTTGAATTGTTAACTTGCAAAGCACTATAGACTCGTTTCCGATACCTTAGCATGATACAAGAATATCCCTAGTATAAAGTGTTATGGAAATTTACCTAGATAATGAGGAATTATTATTTGATTAAGGAATCTCAACTGTGATGAGTGTTAATGTGAAAGCCTACTAACGGGTCGTATTAAGACGGGCATAACTCGAAGAAAAGATAGTGTCGGGTTGTCGTATACATGCCTTATTATGTCTATAAATTGTAGGCGGTCTATGTAGAGAACTCTATTACCTTATGATTTTATGTCCGGTAATTTACTAATGATAGTAGTAGCGTACTTGTTATATTGGTAGACTCATGTTAAATCTCGAAGTTGAAATGTTATTATAAGTACTCGTGTGCTAAATGTTAAATATTCAAATAATTATTTTGAAACGGGATGAAGCTTGGGTTCGAATATTGTTTTATTTTATTATGTGTGAAGGATGGTGTGAACTGGGGGTAGACATTGTGATTATTATGTAACCTCCATGTTATCCTTTCACTACCTCTCGGAAATAGGCATTGTGATTATTGTGTAATTTCCGRGATAAAGAGCTTACGATCACGAATGGCTCAATGACTGGATTTTGGTTGATGTCGATGGTTTTTGAACCTATAAGTGATGCTCTATAACGGTGATTTACGACTTACTTTGTGTTCGTCTTAATCAACGGTAAATCGGGTCTCCCCCGTTGACCTCTGATGTTTAATACCCATGTCAATATTTTAAATAACGGCGACTTTTCAGTGCTTAAATTTGTAATATTTATATCTCCGGACTTCACTGCATATTGAGAATTTAATTGAACTTACTAGGCGTAAGCCTAACACTTATTTGATATGACTTGTTTGTCAGGTTCTTTTAGTAGCGGGGCCAAATCGGGTTGAGAGGAGCATTGTTTCATGAAGAGGCTCTTTTGTAGTAAAGTCTTGTTCTCTTGAGCGTTAAGCTGGAAATGCCGTATTTTGGAGATTGATAGAGACACCCGTCTATAATCTAGTTGTAGAAAATCTAGATTAGTAGGTTGTTATTTATCGTCTCGATAATCGTTTGTAAACGCCTTACTATTGCCTTTTGTTAAAATTCATATTTTAAGAATTCAAGTTCCGGATTTTTGTTTGAGTTTGTTTCTTTTGTTTTAACATATTATTATTACTTCTTGTAAGTATTATGGGTGTTATATACTATGTCTCTTAACATGTAAGATTGTGGTTCTTATCATGCTGACTGACAATAAGGTAAAAGACATCTGGTAAGCATTTACCCGACAAACGTTTGATAAA